CATCTGCCAGTAATAAAAGCTTCTTTGTGTGGCCGCTATGAGAATTAAACAGATACCGGGTGGGTGAAGTGCCTGACGCGTAGTAAGCATTCAAGAAATGGCAGTTAAGACCTGTTACTCTGGGGACCACGAAGTCACCAGTCTCCACAGCCCAGGGCAAGTTACCAGGATAATTCTGCCAGCAATGAGCTTTTGAGCTGGTGAGAGAGCGAGACTGGGCAGGTCAACACAAGCCTTTGCAAAAGCCCTGAAGGAAGGGAATCGAGGCTGGCAGCTCTGCAAGGTCCACCCCCGCTGCTGCTCTCGCCTTTCCGTCTCGCCCGTCGTTCTTTTTATGGGACCTCGAGGCTCTAGTCTGACTCCTCCACCGGGGCAACTGAAGCAGCTCTCCGCCACAGAATCCAAGGCCCGGCCCAGTCGGGCCTGGGTGCCCTGGGCTGGCAGAGGTGTAGTCCCCTGAGCTAGGATGCCTTCCGGGGGTGACAGAGTGGCGGATGATTTTGTCGGCCGCGGCGCATCCCATGCGCCAAGGCTCCCAGGCCTCGGCTGTATGTCCGGCCGCCAGCTCAAAAGCCCAGAAGAATGGGGCAGCCCAGCCCGGCGGTTCCCGGCTTCCCTGCCTTCAAGCCCTACAGCTTCACCTTCCCCGGAGCAGCGCGCCGGCTACTCACCCCAGAAAGCGGGCCGCGTCAGGCCTGGCACCGAGGGCGCGGGTGGGACTGCGGAGGCGTCAACCGCCGGGAGCAGGCGGAGCTGCGGCATTTGTCCCCGAAGCAGGCCTGAGTCGGGGCCGGTAAGCGCTGCTCAGTGAGTCAGCACTCCGGGTGGGCTGCGCGTTAGTGGTTCTCTACTTAGCTCTGGCAAGGGCCAGGGCTTCTAGCATCCAAAAGAAAGCCTCCCCCTACGTGACCGCCCTTGTGCCAGCCTCTTGGGTTTGTGAGTCCCTCCAAGAAAGGGAGCCTTTGAGGCAACCAGGGGCGCCCAGTGGGCCTCGCGAGGGAGGCATTCGTCGGGAGCATCCACACGGTGTTACTTAGACTCTCTCGACTGCTGGGCGGCCGGGAGAAAGTGTCCACCTGGCTAGGGAGCAGCCCTGCGGAAATAGACTGGAAAACTCACCCCATTGGAGGACACCCAGTCTGACCCTTTCCACTTCTGATTCCACCCCGCAACCCAGGAGAAACCATTTCCGAGTTTCAGCCGCACAGTGAGCGATCAACGGAGTTTGGAGAAGAGACTCCCGCGAGGCGGTGCGGGAGGCCTTGACCCTGACACCAGGACTTGAGACCTTTCTGGCTCAGGCTCGGCTCCACTGTCCGGCGGCACCCAGCAACAGCAACCTCCTTCTCTCCCGGCTTACCTCGCCTGCGGCCAGAAGCGGCTCCAGGAACGAGGACCAACCTGCGCCGGGTTAGGTTCTGATGGCGCAAAAGGAGAGGCTGGTGCTCCTCCAGCCCCAGGCGCCTCCGGCTTGTGAGCCAGAGCGCTCAGGCATAGCCTGGCTTTCCCGGCTCTCCCGAGTGCCCTGGGCGCGCACTGGGTCACCCGCACACCTACATACTCAAAAATAGCCACCCTCCCAGGGCGCAGGTCCGCCCCATCTATGCACACCAGTGCGTTTTTTCACCCTATTGCACGCACACACTTTCTCACATCTCCCAGTACATCCTCACGCACTGAGTCGCGTCCCTTTCCGGAGTCCCTAGGCTGCTGTGAGGGCTCCGGGTGCCAAGGCAGTGGCGTTGGGATAGGGAACATCAAAAAAGGAAGGGGCCCAGTCGCGAGCCCAAGCTCTCCTCGGTTCTTCTCCATCTGCCCCTCAACACAAAAACATTCACATGTCTCCCTTCCGGAGCCCCAGAGCATCCTGGCAAGAGGTGAGCGCTGGTGGAGTCGTGGAGACGAAATACCTGCGTCCTGACTCCAGCGCTCGCACTCGGCTAGTCCCTGCTTTTCTCAGGGGCTGAAATGGTGTTTCCTACGAGGACTGGGGAAAATCGAGGACGGAGTAGCCCAGTGTTCTCTCCTCAGATCTCCCTGGCCCTGTTTAACCTCTCCTTGTGTGACGGACGTGCCATCACCGCCTGGTCCCCAGGCAGACCCACCACTCCCTCGAGATGCGCTTCGGGGTAGGGACACCAGTATCTAGGCTCGGCCCAAGTCCAGACGATGGCTGCGGAGCACGGGGCGAGGGGAGGAGTCTGAGAGGAAGCACAGCGAGTCCTCGTGCTCCCCTCTGCCCTCAGTAGCCCTCGGCTTTTAAGCCCCCAAGCAGATGAATCAACCAGTTGCCCTCGAGGCTGGATTCTACCTTCTTCATTCCGTTTCATCTTCTAGGGTTGCGTGGGTAAGGGACCTAACTGGGAACAAATGAGAGGCGAACGCGACAGGGGAGCAGAAAAGAAGATTCGCGCTTCTGGTCGCTACGGTCCTTCGAGTCGCCGGAGCAAAACTCTTGGCTTCCGCGGCTGCCGCGGGGTGAGCGGGTGAGGAGCGGGGAGAAGGGGGCGACACGCCACTGGGAACCCTATTTGGTGGAAGCCGATGAGGAGTGGCTGTATTCACCCGGCAATGTCTTTGCAAAAGTTATGTCCAGTTGGCAGGCTCTGGTGGGGGCCGCAGCCTCTCCCTCGGAGTGGAGGACTGGCTTGTATAGATTTATGCAGTGGGCGAGTAGCTGCTCTGGTTTATTTTCAGAACTTCTGCATAGCTTCTCAGTTTAAATAAATATTTTCGGGGTTAGCTTTCCAAGAGGGAGAGAAAAGCGGGAAGTTGCAATAAATAGTGCGGCTCTGCCCAAGTCGCTTTACGGAATAAAGCTCCAGAACAGGCACCCCGCCCCCTATTGGCGAGTGAAAGCTCCGGGCAAACTCCCGCGTTCCCACCTGGGCGAGCTAAGAGAGGGTGCCGCAGGTGAGATCCCTGACCCGTGGCCACCTCGGGCTAAGACCATCTCTTTCTCAGCCATCTGGTGCCGAGGCCTTACGGCAAACAGCGCTGCAAGGCCGGCCCTAGCCCCGGTGGGTCGATGGGCAGGGACTGGCTGCTGGAAGGGGTATCAGTGTGGATGCGCTTTTGCGTGCGTCCGGCGAGAAGCATGATAGAAGCATGATGCGTATTTGTGTTTGTGTATGTGAGCGCACGTATGCGGGAGGGACTAATTTGTGCCTGTATCTGGAGTATACATCCGTGCAGGAGAGTGTTTCGCCTGAGGACACGTGTTTGTGTGTCTATGAAAATGAGTTGAGGGTCTGTGTGTTTGCTTCTGTGTGTGTGTGTGAACACATGTGTGACAGAGTCTGTGGCTTTCCCTCTTTGGGGTGGGAGTTTCTGGAGGCATCTGCAGTGCCTCCTCACAGGCTCTCAATACTTGTGATTCGAACTAATGTTAAATGTGTATGTTCTCGTCCTTTTGAAAGTTGGCGCAGAGCCTGTTTGCCTGTGAACGTGAGTCTCGAAAATAGGGGGCAAGTGGGGGTGATGCGGGTTCCAGGGACTACTCTGTGTCCCCACTTCCCAGAAGCAAGTCCGGGCCTGTCGGCTGGCCTCGGCTGGCTCAAGGCGGCCTCGCGCGTCGCTTGAGTCTCTCAGGACCTCCAGGCGTTAGCGGTCTCTTCAACCCGCCAGTCAGCAGAGGCCGGGCCGCTGGGGCCCTACAAGCACAGACCAGGTCCCCGGAGGGCCTGAGTTGTCCCCTGAGAGGAGAGGAGTTGTCTCCCTCCAGGAGAGGCCGCGGGAGGTGCCAAGACGAGAATTCCTCATCGGGTGCGGGCCGTGGGCGCTTGGTGCAGCCGGAGGCCTAGGACTCCAGCCACGCAGCGCAGTCTCCGCCTCCTGGGGATTCCTTTGCCTTGCGGGCCCGCACAGAGCGAAGGCAGAGGCGGAGCCTCCCGCGCCTCGTTAGCCCGCCCGGCTGCCCGCGGAATCCTTGACACTTAGGAAGTCCCCGCGAAAGGGTCTTCGGTGAGCGCTGATTTCATCGGAGCGGGAAGTCCCGAGAGGTCCCCGCGCTCTAGGATCACGGGGCGCCGCCGAAAAGCGCCTCATCCCCTCCATTCCTTCTCATCCAGGACCGACAGGCTTAGTCTGAAGCGTCCTGGTCGCGGAGGAGGGACGTGTTTGGTACCTACAGCCATCGCAAAGCCTGGATTTCTGACTAGAGGAGTCCTGCCCGCTTTGGATCTGCCTAGACCGGCTTAGACGTGTCGCTTAGGCGGGTGGGGAGAGCACTAGATCCCTAAAAGGGGAGGGGGCGCTGCAGGTTAATTTACAGCTACAGAGGCACCTAGGGCGCACGACAACGGGCGGAGGTGCCCCCTTGGGCTGACCGGCCAAGCCCCGGCGCCCGCTTGCTCCCATTTAGAAGACGCGCCCGAGTCTCCTTGGACTTCCTTTCTCCCCCACCCCTTCATCTCCACTCCAAACCGACAGATTTCTGAGCTTAGAAACCTGGGCTCCACGGTCACACCCACAACCCGGGCCTCGCGGCTGGATCAGCGGTTGCCCTTGGGGCCAGAGAATCTGTCCAGTGCGTCGCGCCTGGTTTTGGGTACTGAGGCCACCGCTAAGGAGGCTGCCCTTCAGGAAACCTCCACCGTCCGATTTGTTCCCCCGCCGCGTTGGCATCTCCAAACACACTTACCCACCTTCCGTACACAGACTCTCATTTCCCACCCCCATCCCCAGGTGAGGAAAGAGGCAGGTGAGGGCACTGCTTGGCTGGTGGGGGGCTAGGAGTCCTCAAGTGGAGCAGGCCGCCTCCCCTCCCCGCTTCCGCAGGGAGCTTCCCGGACAAGAAAAGGGATAAAGTACTTTGGGGGAGGAAGTTTCAGAGTTTTCAGTCCCTTCACCTCGCGACTGATACACATTCTGTATGTGGGAAGGCGTCTCCTGGTTCAGGGACTCACAGGGCATCGCTGCCCAGGACGGTCCACTCGGGTGTCGAGTCCCTGTAGGGAAATCAGACACTGCTGCACTCCCGGCTCGCGGGCCTCGTGGTATATATCCATATATATATTTATGATTTCTAATTTTATTATAAAATAAAAGCAGAAATATTTCCCAAAGAACATTCACATGAGGGCATAACAGGGAGATGGCAAGTCCGCGGCTCGGGAGGCACGCTCTGCCGGGAGCACTGTGGCCACAGCCCTGGAGGAAGAGGAGAGCGCGGGGCGGGGCCTCACCAAGAGAGAGGGGCGAGCGGCAAGGGGGCGTTCAGGGGCTTCCGCGCCGTTGCTCTTTTTCTTTCACTTAAGTTACTAGGCCCAAAGTTGACACCTGCAGCCCCGCTGACCCCAAGGGAGGGCCTCTGAAGAAGGCCTGTGTTCAAAGGCCCTAGCTTTCCTTTGCTCTTCCCCCTGCACCCCCGACCCCAGGAGAGAGAGGGATGGGTGGGGCAGGTAGATGGCCAGGCACGAGGAGAAAGACGGAGGGGTACAGACCTGGGGGCCAGGGGTGCAAGAGGCTGGCGGAGAGGAGAAACAGAAAAACAGAGAAAGAGAAACAGAAACCTAATGAGAGGTGGTAAGCAGGAAATGTGGAGGGAGACAGCGAAAAGAGGGAAAGCAAGAAAGGGAGGGAGAAAAGGAGAAGAGAGAAAGAAGGAAAAGGAAGAGGAGAAAAGAGCAAGGAAGGTGAGAGACGGAAAGAGCCAAGAGAAGGTAGGGAAAGAGTATGAGAAAGGTGTATAATTTATTCCCTTCCCTGGTTCAAGGCTGGTCCCAGGCCTCCAAAGGATCTCAAAAGCAACTTGCCGAAAATAAATCCCGAACAAAGACCAAACCAGAGAGCCATCCGCCCTGCCCTGGCCGGGCCGGCGGTCCTGCCCACTCAGCGAGCGGGTCTTTCAGTACCTGGTGGGGCGGCCGGCGCAGGGTGCCCTCCCGACACCGTCTCTCTCAGGTCCCCAGCGCCAAGGCCGGAAGGCTAGCGCGTCGAGGCAGGCGGGGCTCTAGGAGCCCAGGTCCACGAGGTTGGCCGACATGGGGTTGAGGATGGAGTCCTGCAGGCCGTGGTGGTGCTGCAGTGGGTCCGCGCCACCTCCGCCCGGCACGGGCACAGGCACGGCGCTGGGGCCGGGAGGGTGGCCCAGGCTGTGCAGGGATGGCAGCCCTGGTGGCGGCGGCGGGCTGAGCAGCAGCGCGGGGCTGGACGACGAGTGGTCCGGCGTCCCCGACGGCGTCTTCTCGTCCTCCGAGCTGCCTAGCACCGACTTGCCGCTGCCGTTCAGCGACGCAGCCAGAGGATTGTGGCTGTTGGAGTTGGAGTTTTCGCTGTTCTCCCTGCAAGTGCAGGAGCAAAGCAGCCGGGTCAGCGGGGAAAGAGAGGCCGCTCGGCGCCACGACACCGGGAGCCAGAGCCTGCGCCCACCTCGGAGACTGAGCCGCCGCCGGCTGCCTGCGGGTGTTTTCGGTTTCTACCATGTTCTGGGCCTGGCTTGGGGATTTCGTTCTTTCTGCCAGGTCTCTCAATCTCTCCACACCCCATTTCTCTCTCTTAGCCTTCTCCCTGTATCATCTTTATCTCCCCACCTCTCATGCTCTCAATCTTATGAAAATCTCTCTTGCTCTCTGTGTGTCCTGTCCCCCTTACCCCCTCACTGCTCACTGGGTTGCTAACATTTCTGACCAGAGCAGAGGCGCAGGGGAGCACGGCTCCGTGGAGTTTGGGGGAGAGGCAGGAACAAAGAGAAGATGCCTGGATTTTCAGATCACTCTTGGCTCCTCAAACCAGGGTTTGCTGGGTAGAAGTGGGGCCAGGAGTGAGGAACACCAGAGCCTAGATCCTAGGCTGAGGGCCTATTTGAAGTTGGGAGTCTTAACAGCGTTCATCTCCCTTTGCTTTTCTCTGCTTGAGGGAAATCCCTCACTGGGGGACGGGTTCCTGGAGCTAAGGGTCCTTTCCCTCCAGCTGCAAACTGCAGACCTGGTGAGGACTCTTCTTACTGGGCCTAGGGACAAGGCCCTAAGGATGCAGGACTCCCTTTTCCTGGCAGCACAGTGGAAATTTCAGCTGGGGGACTGGGAGCTGGGGAATTAGAGGGCAGCTCATGGGAGAAGGGACAAGGGACAAGGTAGAATGGAGGAGATTGCTAATCCTGGCCTAGACTTTTCTGCCATACCAGAAACAGAGACTCTGCAGCCCTCACCTGGGCCCTGGCCTGAGAACCTAGTTCTTCAGGAGTCTGGACACAAGCCAGTCTGGGTGGACAGGGACCCCAGCAGGGAGAACCCACCTCCTGCCCTGCTTTTGACTGACAGCTCTGCCTAGATTCAGATATTTGAAATCTTGGACAGATTCTTTCTTCACGGGCTTCCTGAGGCCTTTTCTTCCTGTTTTCCTTGAAGGGAACTTCCCACAGGGCTGGCAGCTGAGACCTTACAGCTGAGGATACCCCAGACTCTGGTCTCAGAGACCATGGTCAGCCTGAAGCTTCCCTGCCATGTCCAGAGGTCCCACTTCACTGTTCAGTACCCCCACACCACCATGATCATTCAAACTATGGGCTCCGCACACCCCATACCACTGACCCCAGGCGTCTTGTTTTGCTCCGAAACTCATGCTGGATTCTGTCCCCACAGTCAGTTTCTCTGCCATTTCCCCCTCCAGATTTGGGGTCCTGAGGGGCCACAGGGCTGGCAGCCACCACAGTCTAATGGCCAACTGTTAGGCTAGTTCAGGAAGTCTTGGTTTCCCTGAGGACAAGCAACTCCCAGCCTTTCTTCTGCCGCTCTCGGCTCACCCCAGACCTATTGATCTACCCACCAAAGACGGTAGACTCTGAGGAGAGAGGGGTCAAGGGTAAGGGAAGTCCTGCCGCATCCAACAAGGCAGAGAAAAGGGGCATGTATTTCTCTTCTTCTCCCCCAGCGCTGACACTTCTTCCCCAACCCTTTTGCCTTTTGGTCCTTTCTATGCGGGATAAAAGTCTCTTGCTATGAACTCGTGTGTCCAGACAAGGAAACTTCCTGCCCAAGCCCGTCCACATCCAGCCCCTCCACATCCAGGTCATACCCGAGAAGTTCCATTCCCACTCCTGACCCCTAATCACATTCTGGCCTGGAGCTGAGTAAGGCCAAGGAGAAGTTCAGGGAAGCGGTGGTGAATTCAAACAGGCAGGCCTAAAATCGGCAACTGGGAGTCTCCTCAGTCCCTGGGAGGACGATCGTGTCCTGCCTGCTGCGCCGGCTTGCACCGGGTCCAGGCCCACTGTCTAGCCTTTCCTCCGAAACTTCTCCACTTTTGTCCACAAGCCACCAAGGAGTTAGTTGACAACTTCCCCGACTGCGCTGCCCGCTTTAGACAAATCCCTGACCTCCTGGTCTCCCGAAAGACCTGAGCGCCTGAGCGCCGTCCGGGTCAGACCTAGCTGCAGCTGGGCCGTGGCTGGGACTAGGGGCCCCGTTTAGCCCTCTCTCGGGGGTGGATGAACGCCCTGCTACCCCCTCCCTCGGGTCCGGGCTTGCTGGCTCCGGGGATCTACTTACTCGTACCTTTCCTTGGCCTCGGCTGCCCGGTCCCGCTGCCGCCTGTTCTTGAACCAGTTGCTGACCTGCGTGGTGGTGAGGCCCGTGGCCTCCGCCAGCTCGCGCTTCTCGCGGGGTGAGGGGTAGGGGTTGTGCGCGTACCACTCGCGCAGCACGCTGCGACTCTTCTCCTTGAAGCAGTAGCTGGTCTCCTCGCCGTCCCAGATGGAGCGCGGCAGCGGAAACTTGCGGCGCACGCGGTATTTGCCCACAGCGCCCAGCGGCCGGCCGCGCAGCTTCTCCGCTTCGATGTAGTGCGCCTTGAGCCACAGCTGCTGCAGCTTGGCGTGGTTGTGCGGCGAGAACTGGTGGCTCTCCAGGATCTTGTAGAGCTCGCGGAAGTTGCCGCGGTGGAAGGCCACCACCGCCTTGGCCTTGAGCACGCTTTCATTCTTGTGGAGGTGCTCGCAGGCGGGCAGCGACCAGAGGAAGCGGCCCAGCCGCTCGATGTTGCCGCCCTGCTGCAGCACCTCGCACACGCACGCCACTTGCTCCTGCGTGAAGCCGAAGGTGGGCAACATGGACATGGTGCCGGCTGCGCCCCCGCCCGCCCGCGCGCGTCCTCACTGCGCTGCGCGGTCCGGCATGGGCGCCTCCTCGCCCGGCCGTCTGGGCCGAGAGGCGGGCGGGGCCGGCCCCCTGGCCCGGCGCTGCTCCCGGCGAACCCGGAGTCACTGCAGGACTCCCCCGCGCCGGCCGCGGGTCCCGCGCCGCTCCGCGCCCCCGCTGCCTGCGCGCCTCGCCTGCGCCCTCGTCCAAGCCCGGGGGCCGCCCGGGGCGCCGCTCCGCATGCTCCGCGCTCGCCCGCCCGCCACTCTCTCGCTCGCTTCTCTCTCGCTCGCTCTCCCTCCCGTCTAGCTCTCTCGCTGCTTTTTTAATAATATTATTCTAAGCGGGCATGAGGCGCGGCGGCCCGCGCCCTGATTGGTCTGGTTATCTGACCCGGGGCCTGCCCGCGCCAGACAATAGTTGGAGTCAAATTATTCGCCATGGAGACGCTGTCAGTCACTGGTAACCCGAGCCCTGGCGGGCCGGGCGGCTCCCCCCGGCCGGCTCCGCTGACAGATCGCCCGACTCCGCGCAAAGCGGAGGGCGGCCCGAGACAGGAGCCCGAGGCGCTCCAAGAACCTGGGAGGCGGAGCGGGCCGGGCAGGGGCCCGCGGCGGCGGTGATTGACGGGGCGGACGCCCAAAGAGCACGGGCGGAGACGGACACGGGAGTGGGGAGGCGGAGTGGAGACGCGCGGAGGAAAAAAGGGGAGGACCGACGTGGGGAGGGAAAACGGGAGAAGAAAAGGCGGAGGACTGTTTAAGGGGGTGCCGGGAGGAAGGGGTTGGAGAGGGGTGGAGGGAGCCTCGACGGGGAAGAAACTTTGGGCAGCTTTTCTCAAGGCTCCGCCGGGTGCCCCCCGCCTGCACTCGGAGTCGTCAGGCCCCGCCCAGGGCCGCTGTTTGCCGGGTAGATTCTGCCCAGGAGACGCCGGTGAGACGGGAGAGTTTGGACGTGCTCGGGCGCCCCTCAAAGATTTGGCTTTTCCTGCTGACAGCTCCCCACCCCCATCCAAGGAACTCGGACCAGAGCGGTCCACGAGGGACAAGGGGAGGGAGGAGGAGTTAGAAGTCAGTCGGGAAGATTTGGCAGTGGCCGCAGGCGGACGCCTGAGAATCTGCTTCTTGGAGGATCCCGCCTTTCCTCCCTCTCCTCACCGGGCCGGCTGCCCCGCGGCCGGACCGCCCCTGCTCAGCGCTCTCTGCTCCTCGCCGGCCGGGCGGGGACTCAGATTTAACCCCACGGGGCCCACAGCCCGAAAAGCGCGCGGCACTCCCGTGTGGCCTCTACGGAAGTTGACTCGGGTCAGCAGCGCAGGCAGTCTGCCCACGGGCGGCGGGGGCAGGGAGTCTAGGACGGCTGTGGCCCTTCCCCCGTGGGCGGTCGGGGAGGACAGAGTGGAGGCAAACCCCTCCACCCTCCCCCCTCTCAGCTCAGACTGGGCTGTGGCCACTTCTAGCATGGGAACCAGGTCTCTGAGCTCCAGAATGAGGGGCTTAAAAAGGGGGTCTTGTTTTTTGCTTCTTTCTCAGGGCGGGAGTGGCAACACGCAGTGCTGGTTCTCTGGGAGAAGGGCAGGCAGAGTAGGTAGGAGAGGAGAGTGTTGCTGCTGTTTCTTCTGTTTTGAAAAGCCCCGGGCTTAGTTCCTTCCCAGGCTGGTCCTTTCCACTTCGGTTTCCCCTCAGTTCTGAGCTGTTGCAGGCTGGAGCCCACCAGGGCTCCCAGTGCCAGAACCCAAGCCACCACAGAGCTGGGCCTCTGCCCTCAGTTTAGGACTGTGGAACCTGTGTCTAGACCACCTTTCTTTGTTCCCACCCCTTTACAATTTCTGGGGAGTTTGTGCTAAGAGCACTGGAATGGAAGCCCAGAGCTCTAAGTTCATGTTTTGGCTTTGCTGGGTACCTATGAGCAAGGTTCATATTTATTCTAAAGGTCCGTTTCCTTTGCAAGATTTGTAACAGTTTCCACCCCTGCTCTAGCGTTGTAGAGGTCCTCTGGGGGAGTTGCAGGCATGACAGAGTGGAACCCTCAGACTCTCCCTGAGACTTTTGCTTCTGGGTGTGTTGACCACAGGGTGGTCAGAGAATGTTCGCTACCAGTATTAGGGACAGCTCCCTGCAGAAATCCAGGTGGCAACTTCAGAATCTGCATCTGTTGGCTGGGAGGAGCCCTGTGGCATCCAGGCCACTTTATCCAGAGTCCTGTGTGCTGCCACACAGGGTTCACCTGAGTTGGCCTTAGAGGACCCTGGGAAATAGTTACCCCTGGCTGCACTGAGCCTCACAGCCTACCTTGCTGAACCCCAAGAAGGGGCAACCTACTCTTTCCGAGACCTGTTCTTCAGCCGTATGGTTAGTGACTGGCTGGCTGGGCCCAGCTCCGGCCATGGCCATCTTACATCTTGGCAAGATCAGGCTGGGGTTGAAGGGGAGTACCCTGGTCCCGTTCTGGTGGGTGGGACTGGGCAGTAACTTCCTGGTGTGAGACCTTGGGCCAGTTTACAGTCCTCTCCAGCTCATTCTCGCCTCCTATTACATGAGGCCTGTGTGATCTTTCAGACCCCTGCTGGTTCAGGGCTGGGGCGGGTTGAAGAATACTGACATTGGGTAATCTTTGCAACCTCAGCCACAGCTCGCACTGTGAATATGCCCCTCCCTGGACCCTTGGAGCCTCAAGATTGAACTTCCCCCAGGACAGGGTCCTGCCCATGTTCAGCTAAGGTAGATTTTCTGGAGCTTCAGACTCACCGTCCCTTTCAGCATTGCCCTCTTTGCAGCCCCTGGGCATTAAGCCCAAGAGTCAGCCCTGCCAGAACGGAGGTGGGACCTGCCACCTTGGGTAATATAATGTATGCCATATGAAATGTCATTACAGAGCAAGCACAGAAAACCTGTAACACCATAACCCAAAGTATGGGGGTGTGTCCATATGCCACTAGCTCTCCCCTTCCCCCCATATTTGTAGGAAACCAGTTCTAGCAGGTCTGGACTAGAACCTCCTGCCAGCAGGCAGCTGAGTGCCTGCCCTAAAAAGGTTACAAGCTCAGCTAGGGTCCCTTCACAGGCTGCAGCCCCCTCCCTGCCCAGCCCCCTCCCTGACAGTCTTTGCTACAGGACAGAGCACTTGGGAGGTGTCTGCGTAGGGATTTGATAGACGCCAGCCTGACCTTAAGGCAGTCTGAGCCCCGGGTTTCAGTGCTCAGAGCAGCTGCTAGAGAGGCCTGCGGGTGCCGGGTGCCTTGTGTCTACTCCACCCCAACCCATGTTATCACATACTCTTTCCTCTGCTAAGACATGCTGGAGAGGCCTGCTTTCATCAAGCACAAATAGGAGAAACTCCATGGCTGCGGGGGAGCAAAGTTTTGTAGACCTGTGGAAATTTGGGCCTCACTGAAATGTCTCCTATCACCTCCAAGGTGCACTGGAAGTCCCTTGGGATGGGACTTTCTGGAAGGCACAGCAGGGGAAGGTGGGTGTGCTACACCCAGTGAGCTCACGCTGACACAATACTTTTGCCTCTGACTCTTGTTCAGGGACAGTCTAGGGCCTTGTGTCTAGAGCTGGACCAGACGCTCCCCAGAGCAAGACTCAAGGACCCCCACAGATGGCACCCATTGCCCAGCCCAGGGCTGGCACATCGCCCACTCGGGGGACTTCTGGGGAAAGGGAGAAGGCAGCCGCACCAGCCTCCCAAAGGCTTCCCTGACTTTGGGTTGGGGCCATTTCGAAAAGAAGGGGGTGATCTAAGGAGAAGGAGCTGCTTGCCGCCTATTTCCAACGCCGGCAGAGAAGGGAGAGCGGGCTCGGTGCTAAACCAGAGGACCAGAAGCTTCTTTTTTTTTCTTTTTTGATCTTTATTTTTCCAGCCTATAAAGGCTACAGAAATCCCCTGGGCAGACTCCGGCGTAGCGCCGCCCGCCTCCGGCCCTCCCTGCCGCCGCGCACCCCGGGCCCAGAGCTCTGGGGAGCCCCGGCCGGCCGGGGATGAAGAGGTAGGGGGCGTCGGTCCTCCCGGCGCTCAGAGCCCGCTGTGGCCGCCGCACACTCGCCCGAGCCGGCCTCCGCCCGGCCCGGCAGGCGGCGCGTTTCGTTGAAGGCGGGCACGCGGCGCGGGCTGTGTGCGCCCGGCCTCCCGGCTCCTCCGGCCGCGCCCTCGCCCTCGCCCTCGCGCTCGCCGGTCCCCGGCCGCCGGGCGGACGCAGAGCGGGCCGTCGCAAGCCCCGCGCCCCACGGGTTTCTGTTGCCCAGCGTTTGGGGCAGGTCAAGGCGCGAGGATTCCGCTCGCATGAATTCTGCGTTTCCGAAAATGGTCCCCGCGACGCCTCGACGCCCCGAGGTGCCTGGGTACTAGGCTTCCGGCGGCCGCCCTCCTGAAACGGCGCGAAACGGGGCGTCGCCCGCGCCGCACGTGGCAGGCACGTCACAGGGCCCCAAGGGCCGGAGCAGCAGAGTCCCCCTGGGGCCACCGCGGCCCCTCCGCCCTTCTGGCCTCTGCTTGCGACCCCCGCGGCGGCCTGGAGGGCCCTCACGAGAAAACGGTTCGGAGGCCGCGGGCTCACGGGGCATCTTGTTCAAACGAAAAGAGCGAGAACAGGGGCTTGGCGCCCGTTTGGAGGCCTCCAAACCGGCCAATCGGCCCGAGGCGACACCGTGACCGACCGGGACTAGAGGCGGGTACCCAGGCCCGGGCGCTGTCCGCCTTGCTACGACGCCCGGCCCGGCTCGCGGCCTTCCGTCCCAGCCCGCAGTCCCCGCTTGGTCCCGGTGTCCCTTCCCACCCGCGTCGCGCTCCCTCCAGGGCTGGCAGGGGACGCCGGGCCCCTTCGCCTGGGAAGGGGATGGGGGCGCGGCGGGCCGGGCATCCGGCTGAGAGGGCCAGGCTCTCGGCTTTGGTTCAGGAAGCCGCGGGAGTCCGCGCGGGATTTTCCTTCCGAGGGGCGGTTCGAAGGCCTGTGCGTCCACGACCTGCTTTCGCCGGTCTGCCCGCGAGCGCCCCCACGCGGCAGGGCCCAGATGCAGGGTCGGCGGGTCGGTGAGCAGTTTCCCCCAAGCCTCTAGCGGAGGAGGGAGAGGGAGCCGGGAGGGCTGGCCGATTCTTCCCTCCTCACCTCCTGTCCCCCAAAGCCCCCCAACCGGCCATAGGCGCAGGCAGAGCCGGCACAAGGAAGGGGGCGTGTCCGCGAAGCGCGCTCCCTCGGAGACAGACACACGCCCGGAGGGCACTAGGTTGCCAGGGTCTGATCACAACATCCTTGGGGGATGGACACCGGCTTTTCACCCTCGCACATGCCCCCTGGAGAGTCTGGATCTGCCTTGCACACAGTGGGCGCCCAGGAAATGTTGGAATGGATGCCTGAATGACCAATGGGATTTGACTGACAGCAACAGCTGGGAAGTACCGGGCCAATAGGAGAATGGCCCTCTTCCTCCTCTTTCCTCCTATTCTTCCCTCCCAGCCCTCTTCTTGCCCTCCTCTTCTTTGTGGGGAGGTCTCAGAGAGCTGTGCCGGCTTCCTCCAGCCAGAAGTACTGCGTGCTAGAGTCTCCGTAGGGCTACATGGAAGCTAGAGACTGGCCGTCCCGCTCGTAGAAATTCCAGGTCTAACTGCCTATAGCGTTACCGGGTTCCCTTGGGTTGCAGGAAAGAAAGTTTTCTAAGTAGAGTTATTTTAATTTTTCTTGGGCTGCTGTCTTTAGTTGCATTTCTTTAGTTCCTTTTCTTTACAAAAATCCTCTGTGGGCAACATGTAGATCAGGTTTCCTGTAAGAAGTGACTTTTTTTTTCTTTCCATTACCTGGGAGAAATTCTATCCGGGAGCAGGGATTCCTGGCTTGGCACTTCCCTCTCCTGCAGTATCTCTTTATTGCCATTAATTACAATGCATCGGTCCCACTCATCAGTGATACCTCTCTCCCTGGCTGGTGACTGGTCTTGGCTCTCCTCAATTGGGTAGGGCCTGGGCCAGAAGCCACTCCCACCCAGCCATTCAAGGGGATTCCACCAAGTTCTGCATTTTTATAGGGAACCTGGAAAAAGCCAACATTGTTCTTAACTTGGAAATCCAATACTTTATTTTGTTGTGTATGTGAATTAAGGCTAAAACCCGGGGGCTGTTTCTTACAGAAGAATGTATGTTAATTAATTTATGCACAGTGCTTTAATAAAGGAGGTGGAAACCAGATACAGCCCTGCTGGGGAGGGTACAGAGCTCAGGGAAACCTGTGCGTGAGGCTGCTGCAGAGGTACCAGGTCAATGTCAGCCTCAAATAGATGTCCTATGGTATCACTGTGGCATTCTGACTTGTGATGACAGATGTGGTTGGTCCTCTGGCAATTACCGTCTTTGTTCCAACCATTCTAATATAGTTGCACTGTTAGTCAATGCTCACGTATGTGGAAGGCAGGGTAGATAGAGCAGACGACAGGGGCTTTGGCATCAGACAGGCCTGGGTCCTTGGTCCAGACCCACCACTTCAGTAAGTCCCTCAGTCTTGGAGCCTTATTTTGCTCATTTGTAAAATGAGGATGAAAGCCCAGTGCTTGGCACCCAATAAGCCTTCAACAATTGCTGTTGAATTGAATGCTGTTGCTATGGGGATTAGAGACAAAGTTTATGAAACATCTGGTTCAAAATAGGTGCTCAGGAATCCATCAAGGCTATTGTCATCAGGATGTTATGAGATACTGTATTTGCAGAATTGCATACAATTAGTGTTATTTCAGTAAATAACACTGACCGAAGTGTCAAAAGGCAGATTTAGTTTTCAGGTGACAAATATTACCAAGCCTCTATTTATGCCTAGACCTGAGCCAGGCACTTTGGGACATGCCCAGATATGTGACTGGACGTTCTGGAGCAGTTGGAAAGACAGGAACTCGTACACACGAAACAACCGAGGTCTCTGCAGTTCGCCACCCACGGCAGCCTTGGAGAGAGTGTGGGCTTTGGAGTCAGGCTATCCGGGCTAAATCCTCCCTCTGCCACTTAGTAACAGGGTGACCAAGGGCAAGCGACTTAGTCTTATGGAGTCAGTTTCCCCGACTAGGGAGAAAAAGAGCAGGCCTAACAAACATCTTGCTCCCAGGGTTTTGGGAAGAGGAAGTGAGCTAATGTATGTGAAAAGACTGAGTCCCTGTTTGGAAATGAACAGGAGACCTTTAGCTGCCATAACGTTTTGTATTGTCTTATGGCGTTTCCCAGATTTTGGTCTCATTAAGGCAAGTCTCAGAAAGCAAAAGACAACTGCAAACAGGTGTGACATTGTGTGTGCCTATGAGGTTGCACAGGGCTTCTCCTTCTGTTGTATGTGTTCTCAGGGTTGAGCGCAAAGCAGAGCTCATGCTGAAGGCTTGATAGGTGGGTGTGGATTGTGTGATTGTTAGCTGGAGTAAATGAAGTGACTCTCCTTCCCCTCCCTAACTTCTTCCTCATCAGCCCCTTGCATCTTAACATAGAGCCAGGTGTATCTGTTAAAATAAAAAATAACTCCCCCTAATAGAGTATCTTCTATACACAGAGCAGTTTACTAATGTATAGTGGGTACCATAATCCTATACAGTGGGTATTATCAGCATTTACCTATAAAGTGGGCTCAGAGAGGTTAAGCAACTTGACCTAGGTCATACAGCTAATAAGGAGCCTCTGAAATTTCAGTCCTTGATGCCAAAACCCATACTGTAAGTCATAAGCCTTACGGACCTTAGTTCCTCTGTAATAGCGAAAGTAATAATAGGAAGAATTTACTCAGTGCCTGTTATGTGCTATCTCACATAATTTCAAAACAGCTCTATGAGTCCGGACAGCATAATTAACAGCTCCATCTTACAGGTGGTGACACTGAGGCTCAGAGAGATTAAGCACAAATACAGCAGCTATGGCATAGTCTTATGGAGTCAGTTTCCCCAACTAGGGAGAAAAAGAGCAGGGTTCTTGAATCCAGGCCTTTTGGCTGCAGGACGTCTGCTCTCACCCACTCCACTGGGGCAGCTTTTCTGCCAAGCTCTCATCTCTCACCCTCAGGCCTTTCCGCTCTCTGAGCTCACGTTCCCCAGGCACTTCCAGCTCCCAGTGGTTGAGAGTTCCCTGCAGGTGTCAGGAAAGTGGGTCTAGGTTCTAGGAAAGGCTCTCTCTGCCCCAAGGTCTCAGCCCCCAGGACCTGGGATTGGTGGCCTTCAGTCCCTATCAGCCCCTGCTGGGCAGGAGCCCACCGTGACTAGGGCAACCTGTACAGCCGTAGCCTCAGCACCCCACTGGGTAAAGTCTGGATGTACTCATGGCCCTATTATGCCGGGGGCGAGCCTGAGGGACTCAGAATTAAAATGTCCTGGTCTAGGTACTTTGAGGTGCAAGCCACAGAAATCCACTCAGACTAACAGAAAAAAAAATAAGTTTATTACAAGGATTCGGGGGTAGCACGTGGATGCAAGGGCAGGGAATACCATTATCCTTAAGAGGGGCAGAACCAGAAACTGGAAAATAGAAACCAAGGCAGCCACTTTCCCTCCTTCTAGGTGGCAGGATGGTCTCCTTTCTCTGCTCCCCTCTGAGTATCTTTGTTCTCTCTCTGAAGAGCAGTGTTCCCCGTTTCTACTCCTTTTAATACTTCTCCAGCCTTTATTGTGTCCCCCTGGCTCAGGTACTCAGGAAGCACTCAAAAATCTCTGCCCTGTTCCAAATTCTTGAGAGAGAATCCTATAGGCTCATCTTGGGTCAGGTGATTCGCACTCCAATCAGCGATGTTCAGGTGGTGGGTGGGAGGGACTATATGGTCCACTACCCAATCTGTAGGGACTATGAGCCCAGACATGGAAGAATGAGGTGATTGGAGGGCTACTGTGCTAGTCCGCTATGGAATATGAAAGTCTAGTGCCTGGTACATGAGAGCTGTTAAACAAACATTAGTTCCTTCCCTCCGCTTTTCTCCCCTCTCCCCAAAGTGGTGCCTTTTCCAATCCATCCATCACAAATCAGGCAGAGCCACTAATTTAGAACACAGATATGATTGTGCCACTCTTTATTTAAGTTCTCCTAATGGCACCTATTAACTTCAGGATGATATTTAGACTCCTCAGCATGACGTATGAGGGCCTTTGTCATCAGACTTAGCACATACATCCAGCTTATCTCTCCATGCTGCCCACTTCCTAGTCAAGGCTTCAGCCATCCTGAGTGATTTGAAGTTCATGGACTCTTCCATCCTGTGGTAGATATCCATCACCGCCCACGGATGCTTCATTGACTCTGGGCTTGGCCATGTGACAGACTGGGACCAATGAAGTGTGAGTGGAGGAACAGAAGCTTTTAGAGACCTTGTAAGTTGCCTCCAGGCCATGAGTACATCCAGACTTTACTCCTCTTTCTTCTTTTGTCCTCATACAGCCGATAGGTGCTGCTCCAGCCTATGTCACAGGATGAAAAAGAAGATGGAGCAGAGTACCAACCTGAAGCAGAGTCATGGCTGGTCTGCAGCCTGGCTTTAATATGGAGTGAGAAATAGTGTGCGTGGTTGTGAACCTCTGAGAGTTGGGCGGTTAGTTACTGCAGCAAAGCTGAGTAACCTGGTCCCCTCCCTCAAATCTCGGTTTGTGGTGTTCCCTCTCCTCGGAAACCTCCCCCTTCGTCCCCAAGACTCAGACTAGATGTTACTTTCTCTGGAAAACTCTCCTGACCCTCTTCCTCCCCGAGGTCAGGTGTGGCCCTGCTCCAGTTCCCACAGCATCTTCCTGTTGTCATCCCCAGCATTTCATCATCAGAGCCCTATAACCTCTTGATCTCTTACCTGACTTCACCATCAGACTGTGAACTCCTTGAAGGCAGGGACTGTATCCTCTGGTTTACCTGGCACACAGTAAGTCTGCAAAAATATTTGTTGAGAGAGCCAGCCCTGTTGGCCTAGTGGTTAAAGTTCAGTGCTCTCACTGCTTTGGCAGCCTGGGTTTGGTTCCTGTTTGTAGAACCACACCACTCGCCTGTCAGTAGCCATGCTGTGGCGGTGGCTCACAGAGAAGAACTAGAACAACTTACAACTATGATACACAACCATGTACTGGGGCTTTGGGGAGAAAAAAACGTATTTGTTGACAAAGGGATGACATTGGTAGTATGAATAATCTTCTACATTTGTGTGTCAGATTTGATTTTCTAAAGATGGCTACAACAATATACCCGGTCCCATATGCTCTTCTTTTTTTTTTTTTGTTAGACAATTTTTGTTTTCTCTCTCTTTTTTCCCTCCCCAGAGCCCCGGTACATGGTTGTATATCATAATTGTAAGTCATTAACTGAAGCAGTGACCACTGAACTTTAACCAAGCCATCAGGGCTGGCTCTATACTCTCTTCTTTTTTTTTTTTAATAAACCTTTTTTTTTTTTTTTGATGGGGAAGACTGGCCCTGAGCTAACATCTGTTGCCAGTCTTCCTCTTTTTGCTCGAGGAAGATTGTTGCTGAGCTAACATCTGTGCTAATCTTCCTCTCTGTTTTTTGTATGTGGGATGCCACCACAGCATGGTCCACACCTGGGATCTGAACCCGCCATCCCCAGGCCACTGAAGCAGAGTGCGTGAACTTAACCTTTATGCCACTGGGCCAGTCCCTCCATATGCTCTTCTTTTAATGTGACTGTGACATTCCTCTTGTTGAGAGGTATGGGTATAAGCAAGGAGTGGTCTGTGTTTCTTGCCCTGTAAATCTGGGTGAGCTTATGACTATGGCAAAAGTCACACAATGTGACTTCTGAAGCTAGGTCATGAAAGGCAATACAGTGATTGGCTCGTTCTCTTGGGACACTTGCTCTTGGAAGCAGCCACCATGCTGTAAGGAAGCCCTGTTGAGAGGCCTGTGTGGAAAAGAACTTAGGCCCCCTCTCTGGCTCCACTCCAAGCAGCAACTGGCACCAGGTTACTAGCCATCTCAGTGAGCCATCTTGAAAGTGGATCCTTCAGCTCTAGTCAGGTTGTCCCAGCTGATACCGCAATGAGGAGATGAGCTGTCCCTGCCAAGTCCTGTCCTTTCCCAATTGCAGATTCATGAGCAAAATAAATAACTACTATTGTTTTAGCCCATTAAGTTTTGGAGTGATTGATACACAGCAATAGATAATCAGAACACTAGCCTTTCCTCTTAGCAGTCCACTTTTCTCTTGGATATGAATACCTATTCTGAGCATCACTCCCTTTGCCTTGGGCCTTAACACCAGCCCTCTCACCCGGGGGCCAGATACTGTGCCCACATGCCCAGCTTCTGGCTGGGGTAACTCTCTGATGGATCTTAGCCTCAGAACTCTGAAGTTGCCCTCCCTCTGGCTTCGGGTATTACTTTCCCCGATGCCTGTCCCCTAGACTAGAGCTCCTGGGCACACAGACCAGTGGGGAGTCAATCCTGAGTGCCCTACTCCCTACTGGACACCAGGCACTGCCCACCTGTTGCCACCATGGGCCAGAAGCCAGCTGGGGCCAGTCTCCACTCCTAAAGGAGCTCCATTCTTTTCCCTGGGTCGTGCCACTGTGGCTCAAGGCTTCCTTGGAATTCTCTAAATTAGGACAAATCCCGGGTGCTTCATCTACAAATAGGTTCATATTATGGGCTATTGCATGAGGTTATTGTGAGGATCAAATGTGACTCTATCCATGACCCATGTTTGGTAAACTTTCAATATTCCTACAGGTTTATTCAGCCAGAATGAATGCTGCCTAGGAAGTGCTTGCTGAATGGACATAAGGGCTAAAGCTACAGACAGCTCTTCCTGAGTCCCTGTCACTCCCCACCTCCACTCCCGCCATACCCCTTCTGTTTTAAAGTCTAGTCTGTCCTGGACAACATCCCAAAGATCTGTTTTCCTAAAGCACTTCTCTTTTTCATATCATCCTCTGTTCAAGGTGCTTCTGTGGCTCCTGACCTCCACCACCCAGAATAGCATCCTCATACCTTAGCTAGAATCCCAGGCCCTCCCCAGGCTGGTCAACTCACCTCTACAGGATTAGACCCCGCTGCTGCCCATGGGACTGTCCACTCCAGTCAGATGACCTCCTCCCTTGCCCTTGGACCTGCTGTGTTTTCTCCCCTCACCCCTACCCCTGGGCCTTTGCTCTTGCTGTTTCCTTGTCAGGAATTCCCGGGTTGAAGTGAACTGCTCTGTGAAGACCTCCTCAGGATGTTTCCTCCCTGCTGCCTGGCTGTTCATAGGACGTAACATCCACATGCCTTCGCCTGACCTGAACCCGGGGCCGCGGTCTGAGTGATTGCTCCTGTACGTCCTTTGCCTTCTTGGAGGACCAATCTCTGTTGTTTCTCATAGCTTCCCATCCCCACAAAGGTCACTGTGCTCCCCTGCCCAGCACTTAGCATTTGTGGGTAAATAGTAGAGGCTTAATAGATTTTGGGGGGCCTGGATTGCATTGAAAAAATAAAAATAAGACCGTAGAACTTCTCACACGTAGTGGGCCTTTTGTGAAACACAAGCAGTGGTTCCTCTTTGGAGGAAAATAAAGACAGTCTTGGGCATGTTTCATCAAGAACCACTAGGTATCAAGCAATTATCAGTTAATGAGGATTTCTGGGACCCTTGGAGCCCTCAGTCTGATTTGTAGCAGGGGAGGGAAGGTGGGCATCATGTTCAGCTGCTTGCTGCTCTCCTGACAGACTTCTTGGTGTAGCACATTTAATCCTTGTCATTAAAATACATAAAACTGTTTTGAGATTTTATGACATATTTTCCAAGAAAGTCTTATCACCTGTATCATGCTGAACAATGGTCCTCAATACTTGGAAGCTGTCCATGTTACCTTATATGGCAAACTCTGCAGATATGATTAGCTTAAGGATTTAAGGAGATGGGGAGATTATTCTGAGTTATCCAGGTGGGCCCTAATGTGATCACATGTATCTTTGTAAGAGGGAGGCAGAGAGAGATTTTATGGTACACAGACGACAAGGTAATTACAGAGACAGAGATTGGAATGATGTGGCCACAAACCAAAGAATGCTGGTAAGCACCAGAAGCTGGGAGAGGCAAGGAATCAACTCCTCTAGAGCCTCCAAAAGGTGTACACCCCTGTTGATAGCTTGATTTTGGCCTGGTGATCCTGATTTTGGACTTCTGGCCTCCAGAACTGTGAGAGAATAAGTTTCGCTTGTTTTAAGCCACCATGCTTATAGTAATTTGTTACAGTGGCCACAGGAAAAGAATGTATCACACTGTGGAACACAGCCCTTAGCTGATTCATAAGGGGAAGACCCTTCAGCCTGTCCCAGCAGATGGATGAATAGTGAGGCCTTTACAAATAAACAGTAGGTGCCCCATCAGAGCTGGCATAAGCTGGGTCCTTGAAGGTGCTCTTCTGGGCTTCTTACTACACAGGACCCACTATTTCAGACTCCATAAACTGAGTGTGCTCCACAGTTAATCCATGTTGGCCAAAGTCAACATCCAGTCCCTGGGTGTGTTTGAAAAAAACAGCTTTCTCAGAGGTCACAGGGTGTTGCCCATCACACACACACACACACACACACACACACACACACACAAACAGACACACATCATTTAGGCACATGTGTGGTCACATCCATGGAGGTATGTAGGGGCAGGAAATCACAGACCATCAGGTGCATATTCCCAGCCACACTTGGCACAGTCCTCTGGCATTGACCTTAGAAGCTTAGGTCCTTCTGTGGGTGGGTCTGCAATGGCTCACGAACCCAGCATGTAGTCATCTCCACCCATGGCTGTGAAACTCAAGCCTCCTCCTCCCTCATGCTTTCAGCGTCTGATTAATACTTCCAGAGGCTTATTAGAGCTCTTGACTCAGTAGGTTGCACTACCAGCCAACACATTTCCTCCTCAAAGAACATGTATGTAACTTTCTACACAGCGATACAAGTTAAAAATATACACCTTTCAACAATAAGTTAATGTTAAAGAGTAAACAAAAATAATCTAATGGGGATGCAAGGCGAGGTAGGAGTAGGTGAGGCCTCCCTATTCAACTGAGGCTGTACGAAAAGGGGGAGGGCTGGAGCTGGGGGGAAGGTTGCCATATATGACATAAGCATAGTCAAAGGACAGATTCAGACAGTGACCTCCACGAGCATTTCAGAAAAAGAGATTTCCTCACGGGGAAGGCTTAAATTAAGCCCACAAGATTACTAAGTGATATTTTGTAGCCTCAGCAAGACTTTAATTTAGGGTCCTTGTTCAAAGGGTACGTGGAGAAACACAAACACACACACGTGCACACACACACAGAACCAAACAGGAATGTACCTGCACACACATGTAAATAAATGTATACATAGGCAAATACCTATCCCTACACATATACACGTGGACACACACAAACACCTATATACTTAAATGCATAGGAAATGATGGATACACACATTCATACGCACATGAGGAAATAATTCCTGACGTCGTGGGGACCATTTCACCCTCGATGCACCATACACCTCTGGGTCACCCCCAAACCAGTCCTATATGAGAGTTTACTCACAATTTGGGGGTTTGGGGGGAAGGAGACTTAAGTGGTAAGAGGGTAGAAGGTGAAACTAGAAAATGTAAATATATTCAGTTACTGAGCTTTCCTCCTTCTGAATAGCAAGTGTTCTTAATTGGAAAAATTTGTACCCTCAATGCATTATAAACTTTGTGGCTACTTGGCACGTGGTTGGGGCTGGGGCTGTTCTTAAGGAATCTATAGTTTCTACTAGCTATTTTTCTAGCTCATTTTCAATCTGAGAAGTTTCTGGAAGGTCAGAAGTCCCTCACATCAATACTGACAATGCCCACTAGCAATTCAGTTCAATCCCATTAAATACAGTTAATGAGATGAACATACTTATTTCCCTAAAGTATCAGTCTAAGGAGTATTTAAAGTGCTTCGACTCTATGTCCAACTCTGTGCTAGGCTCTGTCGGGGGAGAAGAGAGGAAGACACTATTCTGCCCTCTAGAAGTTCACAGACTAGTTGGGCAACAGAACCAATCTGTGCGAAGCAGAAGAAAACAAGACCACACACCATTGCTTTTCACCACGGCTGGGGCACAGAGGTCGAGAGGAGGAAATGTTGTGTGTCTGGGTGGGCACAGAAGCTTCTTTGAAAAAGTCGTCTTGATTTGGGCTTTGAACAATAAGGAGAATTTGGGTGGAGGGAGAGGTATGGGTGTGACAAACCGAAGTCTGGCTGAGTGCTAGCCGAGTGCCGCCTTCCTTCCTGACCTACCTCAGCTATACCTAGGCCGGCCTCCAAGGGTTTGTGCTCATTGCCCATCTCCCTCCACCTCTCTCCAAAGAGAGACAGTGAGATTTCTGGGAAAAGTCAAAAGACGTAGAAATAGGCAGAATTCACCAATGCACATTCACTTGGCCCTTTCGGGTGACAGCCATGGATGGCAACTGCAGTCTTGTCGCAGAGGAAGGACTGGTGCTCACAGTGGAGACTGAGAAACATGCAAGATGGGATGAAGCTAATCTGAAGAGCAGGGGTTCTTAACTTTGAGAGTCAGAGACCCACTGGAAATGTGAAGAAAATCATGTCTCCAAGAAAATGCTCATACACACGTATACACAAAAGGTGGCATTTGATTTCAGGGATTCACAGATGGCACTCCCCAGCCCTGAGCTCGTCCCTCAATCTGTGCTGTGTGCAGGCTGTAAGGGCCTCCTGGGTCACAAATGCTGGAGGCCTCCTGCTTCCTTGGAATTCTAGCACCCCTTTGGGGTCAAGGACAGGGCTTTTGTCTCCCTTCACAGCCTTGAGCCTGACAAGCACAAGAGTGGATGGAGGACTCTTTGTACTCACGCCCCGATCCCACAGCACTAGCATCTCCCTTCTCATCAAGGACGGACACCATTTTAAGCCTTTAGTCAATATGGTCAATTTCCCAGACACCAAATATGTTTCCTTTTCTATAGCTGTTCAAAATTAACTGGATTAAGTAATTTTTCCTTGCCGCCCTTGCCATCTTTAATGAACATGGAAATGGCCCAGCACCCTGCATGGTGCCTTGTCCCAGCATAAGCTCAAAAAAAGGCTTTTATTAATTTATAAATGATAACTATGTTTTATTGAATGCTTGCCATGTGTAACACTGAGCAAGGGGCTTTAGAAGCAGGATTTCTCTGACTCCCCTGACAACTCTGACGTGGATAATATTATTAGGCCCATTTTACAGAGGGTAAAGTGGGTACCTGGGGTGAACGGAGGTTAAATTTGTGAAGTGGCGGAGGAGGGAGTTGAACAAGGACTTCTTGCAGAGTCTGACCATGTAACCACTGTCCTGTGTTGCTACTCTGAGCGATTCACTGTATAACTGTTTGGTTAGCGTTGAATACTCTGACCACGATTCGGCAGGAGCAAAAGGGAGAAGGAGGGGATGAAAGGTTGGCCCGATGCCAGGCGGGCTAATCGATGCAGGCACGACTGAGCGCCGCTGCAGGACCAGGGCCCTCGGTGCCTCTTCCAGGCAGGCCCCGGGGCAACCTGAGCTGGGATGCAAGGACAAGCCAGTGCAACACCACCTACTGGTATTGTATTTCAGCGATGGCCCGGGTAGGGGGGAAACCGCCTCCTTGAAAGCATTGGCTCATGCTGGAGTGGAGATTCATTTCCGACTGCCTCCTCCCGCGTCTCCCGAGCTGGCTGGTGTCAGAGGGAGGATATTTTCATAAGGATGAAGTGTTCTTGAACGTTTCCTGCCGCTGCACAGGTTTCCCTTCAGCGGTCACAGGTGTTATCTAACACCTCCCTCCGCTTCCAGACATACTCAGATGAAAATAAAGCCCCTCTATGAAGAGCCCCAGGCTTTCAGGAACGAGCTGGACGGAGAAGCAGGCAAAGTGTGCTGTCCACTCCCGCCCATGGCGGAAGGGCTGAAAAGTGTTTGATTCAATTCAGCACAGGGCTTCTTGGGTGTCTGGAAGTGTGCCAGGCACTAAGTTTCAGGTAGGAGGATGTCAGGCTTTTGCCTGTGATCTCACCATTAAGTAGTCAGTCACTTTGTGAAAATGTTAACTAAGGGGTCCAGTGGACAGCATTCAAGATGTCTGTGAACTTGGATGGGAAAAAACTGCATTTTTATTTTCACCAACCTTGAACTGAAATTTAGCAGTGCCTTCAAGAATGTAGGCATCAACCATGGGAGAATTAGGCAATACCTATGACTTCCTCACCAGCAGAAACCACAGATATTTTCGTATCACGTTGGAGTTGATGCAGACATCTTGAAATGCTTAGGCTCATCACTACTTTGAAATTATGATACTTATTAGACCAACTGCTAAAGCTTGTAATGTATAATGTTAATCAGGAAGCACATATGTTATTATATCACTTTTAAAAATTGTTTTTACAACTTTATTTCAACATAAGTGGTTTTCTTTGCAATTATAAGTATTTTATTTTATGCATTAGAAAATATTATTCTGAGAAGGAGTGTGTAGGATTCATCAGATGCCAAAGGCACAAAAATTGGTTAAGGATCCTTGTGAAATCAATGTGTATTTAGGGTTCTTGTTTCAGTCAGGTTGCAGCTGTTTTGAAGAAGAGTTAATTCTTCACGTTTTGCCTGCTTGGAGAGGCCATGCCCAGACATCGAGGAGAAAGAGGAACAACCTGGGGAACCCTAAAGGTTTTGCTATGTGTAGGCCTCAACTTTCTCATCTATAAAATGGGGTGGCGAAGCCCATCAACAGGAGGTGCTCTTTCTCCATTCCTGACTGGTTAGGAGGTTGGCAGAGCAGTTCATGCTTCAGGTGCCCAGATTTGACATGGCTGGACGCTGAGCCTGGCATGGTGGCTTCACAAAGTCAGCTGGACCCTCTGGGCTTCCTGCATGCCAGGATGAAAACAGCTTTTTTTCATTTGGGATCCAAGATGCTGAGTCACTGGTCAGCTCCGAA